AAACTCCCCCCCCCGTGAGTTTTAACCCCAGACTTTTCGAAAGCATTCATTTTCACTTGGCGTTTATTTTATTCGGGAAGACGTCAGTGATTCTTCCGAGGTGGAATCATGTCAGGTGGATAATGCGAAAAAATGTATTTTGGCCAACTAAAAGAGGAATGGTGATGGCCGTAAAATGGAACCGTTTGCTTCCCCGAGGGAAATGAAATTGATTCAGCTTGATTCTTCCAGTGAATTAGTCGCCTTGTCTCGCAAGCTGTTAATAGTGAACTGCATTCGTTTCATACTACTAATGCAGGCCTGTTCAGTAGCTGGCTAAATACACTTAATAGCTGGGTGCGTAGAGATAACATTATTCCGGTGTAAGATTTTTTCTTCTTTAATCATTTTATCCCAAGCAAGGCGATAAAGCCACTAAGACCCAAGGCGTTATTGAGTGTGAATTAGATTGAGAAAAAGTAAACATTATTGAGGAACGAGAACAACAAAAGAGCAGGAATTAAGAAGACAGAAGATAACAATAGACATTGCACTTAATTTTTTGAAGACTGATGTTGACTGGAATGCAAGAAGCCAGAAATGGTATAAATTGATATAAGCATGTTTGCTTGAATAATATAGACATATTATGTTTGCTTATTTTCATTTTAATGCCCTCAAGGTCACGGATTATTTAAACTTCAATTAAAACAATATTTTAAAATGCGTAATTACATTTTTGATAAGATTTACATAAATTGAGCTACCTCCCTTATATAGTGGTAACACTTTTCGAATTTTACGGTTTTCATGCTCACATATTCATAACGTACATTAATATTTTGTCTTAGTAATTCACCCCCGAAGATAATTTTGGATGAGATTGAAAAGTACTTGAGAAAATAAAGACCATATGGATAATTACAGCGTTTTTCTTGATCAGTTTCGTACTCACAGTAAGAAATTAATCCGTTAATTTGAGAGGATTAAACTAAAAATACATACATGTGTAGATTATTCAACTAAACATGCTTGAATGAAGATCTGCTGGCTATATATATATATATATATGTATATATATATATATATATATATATAATAGCAGGACAGACTGGGTTCTATAGCCTTGGATGGCAACTGGTCTAGGAGAAAGAAAACTCTGAATTCAAAACCTGCGGAGGGTCGTTTGGGAACCTTGTGGCATGCATTCAGTGCACCAGGTTTCTGTATTCGTCCCTCAAAAAGTGTGGCTGGTCCTGCACGGGCCTTCACCACTATAATCAAATCTCATGTGCCGGTGTCGGGATGTCAGTTTCCTGGGGACTTATCGGCCTGACCCTCATACGTCGAACGCGACGGGAGAGTCGATTATATATATATATATATATATATATATATATATATATATATATATATATATATATTTAATCTTTTAAACAACATCTAAGATATTATTACAGTTAGATTTACGTTAGGAATATTCGTTCCATATCACGTGACGTCCGCATCTCGCGACGGACGCTACTTGTAAACAAACAGTTATTTCTGAAGAAAGATTGAGGCCAATCTGAAATATCAAATATATACAAATAAATAAATGCTTTCATAAAAGGATATTATTATTTTTTTAATTTGCAACTTTTTCTATATATACATATTAAGAAAGTATACGTGGTTCTCATTATGCTATATATATATATATATATATATATATATATCAGATAAAATAAAGAACAAATAGGAAACGCTTATCAATCTAACATGTTTCACTTTTATTAAAGCTTCATCAGAGCATGAGATATTAAGATTCAATAATCGAGTTTTTCTTTATATTCATACACACACACACGCACATGCACACACACACATATAGGGAGAGAGAGAAAGAGAGATTTTTATATACCTGTATATATATATATATATATATGTGTGTGTGTGTGTGTGTGTGTGTGTGTGTATGTATATATATATATTCATATATAAATATATATATATATATATATATATATGAATATTTATGTATATATTTAAATATATATATTCCCCCCTCTCTCTCTCTCCTCCATATATATATATATATATATATATATATATATATATATATGGTATAAAAAATACTTTTAGAAACTTTTTGGGGTGCCTTCCTCCTCATTCCAAAACAAGGACAAAAGTTCATATAAACTTATGTCCGCAAATCCTTCCTATTTGAGTTATCAAGTTCAAAGAAAGTTTACAGTAGATGAGGCTGTGTTGCCATGAAGACTAGGTTACATTTGTCATTCGTGTACATTTGTGGATAGTGTGTCTTCAACGTTTAACGTGTGTAGTAGTAAATTAACTGAGAAGTATTACGTTTAAAAATGAAAAGGTATGATTTGTCATACGGACGCGCGAATGGTAATGGACGCGTGGTTGCATAGCTGTATCAGATTGTATTTCAAGACCGAAAACAGCCGAGTCATCTAACCTTTACTGCTGTTTGACGTCGCATTGTTGAGACAGCATCCGTGGCACGACAAATCATGAATCGAGGAAGACCTAGACCGATTCATAAACTTGCCCACGAAGAAGACATTCTACAGATAGTCGCAGACATTCCAGGTATTAACACACATCAAGAGGCCCTAGCATGTTGTACATCTCATAGTACCGCATGGATGTTACATCAAGAGCAGCTCCTGTATCCGTATCATTTGCAGTGTGTATATTGGATTGTACATTTAACAGCATCTACCGTAAAATTTAAACTTAATAACGAAAAATGAAGGATTTTGGACATATGTTGATATAGATTTAGTGAGAATAACCTGCCCCATGAGTTTAAGTATTTTTGATACACATACACTCTCTCTTTTTATATATATATATATATATATATATATATATATATATATAATTATTGTATAAAAGAAAAGCAAACACTTAAAAATGCATAGGTCATATTTATTTCATTGAAGTCGATAAAACGGCTTCAAATCTTCAGAACCTGTAAACCATATATATATATATATATATATATATATATATATATATATATATATATATATATTCTGTTTATAAGTTATTTTTATAGATACAAATATTAAAGTAAATGCTATGTTTATAATAAACACTATAAACTATATTTACCGCCCTGAATGTACGAGAAATTTTATAGTAAATGTATGTCCTCCGACAGGAATCGAACTTGTATCCTCCATGGAACAGAGCATTTACTCAAATATTTGTATCTATAAAAATAACGTCGGACTCAGTCCATTTAATAACATTTATGCCAGCTCTACTTAGCGTATTGACCACTCTACGTGTGAGCTTTATTTATTACTCGCTTGGGTTTATCCTTTGGGCCAAAAACTTAAGTCACTGGACGATTTGTCTCGCCCTGTTCCGATGTTTCTCGTTCATTCTTCGGGGATCAATTTGTTTCGATATACAGTGTAACCCGGATATAAGAGACCCGGATATAAGAGAAACCCGGATGTAAGAGAGATTTTCTCTGGTCCCAAATTAGAGCCTGTGTTAATGTATATAAAATAGACCAAACGCGGATATAAGAGAAACACGGATATAAGAGACTTCTTCTCCGGTCCCGAAAACTCTCTTACATCCGGGTTACACTGTACTTGCAAGTTATGCTATCCGAGATCATTTACAAATCCAGTATTACTATTAGTATTTTATATATATATATATATATATATATATATATATATATATATATATCATACATATTTGTCATTCTGTCTGTCTCTCTTCATATACATACTTTCTCCTTCATTCTGTCTCTCTTTATACATACATACATATATATATATATATATATATATATATATATATATAGAGAGAGAGAGAGAGAGAGATTCAGACAGATAGAATGAAAGATATATATATATATAGAGAGAGAGAGAGAGAGAAAGAGAGAGAGATTCAGACAAACAGAATGAAAGAGATGAGAAGATATGTATATGAAGACAGATTGACAAACAGAAATTCAAAAATTAAAATCGATAGATAATGATAGACTGTGACGTACACACACACAGTCACATACACACACTTATATGTATGCGTCAAAAGAGACTGACAGAATGATACAACAGAAATTAACTATAAATATCGAGATAGGTCGATAGATAGATACATACATACATACATACATACATACAACTGCGATAGATTTATACATACTGGGCCATGTGATCTTATCATTAGTTTAATTATATTTTCCTTCTATTAAAATTCTCGCGAGCGCTAAGCACTTGAGCCAAGAGAACTTGATAAAAGCGACCAACTTTCTTTCACTCTACATTCCAAACACAATCGCGCTGACTAGCGAAGCGAATAATTAATTAGATAATTGCTAATTTAATTCTAATGAACCACTCATACTCCCTGTGCTCTTCATTTTCCTGTCGTTGTCTTTTCTGTGTCTGAGATCTTTACTATTCTCGATGTAATTGACCTATTCATTCCGAAAGTACTTCTCTTCCTCCGTGAGTAGAAAAAAAAAACAGATTCATATCTCAGCGTGGCTGAAATGGAGTAATGGATAGCGGATCGGATTGAGGAATCGGAGAGCCGAGTTCGAATTCCAGTCGAGCCGAGTTCGAATTCCAGTCGAATCCATTACATTCACTTATGTGCTATTACCCTTGGGAAAGGTATGAATCATCTTCTTCTTCCCCAGCTATGGGTAAATAGCATGACAGACCGGGTTCTATAGACTTGGATGTCAACTGATCTACCGCAGAAAGAAATGGCAACCTACTGCGGAAGAAATCTACTTCGTCAGTCATGTATTAAAAGATACATGATCGCCTAAGCGTATATGGCATATAACTGACTGACATATACAGACGGATAAACGTCTTTTCCCTGTTTGTTTTATTTACTTACTTATTTTTACGATTTTGAAAATGTGTTTGATATTGCGCATGTGCTGTGCACTTGTGTGCATTTGAGAGTGTAAGGGGTCAAATGCGCATGCGCAGTGCTCTTTTCTTACCGGCAGGTCGGTGTAAATGGCTGCATTCATGTTTGTTTGCGTGGGGATGAGGAGTTCGCATGTGCGCCTACGCGTCCCTCTGTATTTGTCTTCTTACAAATTTCAAGCTACCATTTTCATTGATTGACGAAACTTGACAAAATAGCAAATCGACTGAACTTCTAACGGTTCGGTCTGGTCTGGTCTGGTCTGGAATGGTCTGGTCTGGTCTGGAATGGTTCGGTTTGGTTTTACGGTTATTTAATGCCGACAAGAATTTTAGGATTGGTTCGTATGCATATTATATGTATTCTTTGTAAGAAATCAGTTTGGGGATAAAGTTTCTTTGTCGTATTTTTGTAAAGAGGGTTTCATTTTGTCGAGAGTCAAATGCTTTGATGGTAATCATTTTTTTTTTTCAAAAATATATTGTTGGTAATGATTTTCAAAAATGTATTGCTGGTATTTTTGCTATAAAAATCTTTTCTTATACTTTCAAAGTGCTTTGACCCCAGAACCTCAAACGAATCAATTATTATTTCGTATTCTATATATAAGTATTATTTACACACACACACACACACACACACACACACACACACATATATATATATATATATATATATATATTAGTGTCGTTTTAGGAAGCTATACTACATGGTGGTTGTCAGTGTCACGTTTTCGGCGATCTTATAACTACTCGTTTTTCAGGCACACTCGTCTGTTAGGCCAGACTCCAGTCCCTACAGCGCAGACGACCGCTCAGTCACATTTGTTTTTTATTCAACTACACAGTGTCCACCTCTGGTTTACACTACATCTATGCTGAGAAGACCTTATTTACAATTTCTGTGTGATGTTGCATAATCTGGATGGATCCACAAGTTTTTTATTTTAACAAGGCCAATACGCTCAAAAACCCAATCATGATGACTTGTGAATTCGTGTTAGCGCAAACAACAACAACGGCTTTGGAACGCTTCCGTCCACCCAATTTCACCCACAAGACTTGAACCAATACCGTCGTATGGTTTCCAGGCACTTTCTAAATTTGCCAAACTCTCGGATCACCGATAAAATCAAGGGGCTACATTCCTGACAAATCAACAATGCTGTGATCCGAATCCAAGTGAGCTTTATAACTATTCAGCCATGTTTTCATATACAATTACAAATTTAACGGCGAAACAAAAGTGCCGAAAACCATTTTGTCGTTGATAAAGACCAGACGACATGCGTTTAAAAAAAAAGGCACCCCTACCCTACCTTAACTTAACCTCATTTCGAAAGTAATTCATATTTTGATACAATAGTTGTCAGTGAAAATAAATACACCACTCCTTCTCAAAATGATTGAATTTCCCCATATCCTTAGAAACTATTATTATGAATATATGTGCTCTTTTGGAGAAAGTGTGGGTTTGTAAACAGTGACTATTACGACTAATAATGCAAGACTCTTCAGTAAATTAAATCGAGTTCTCTCAGTCACTGTGAGTTTATCTAAAAATAAATACGCTTAAATTCACCTTCATCCTGCCGTGCTTAGTGGTAGAATCCCCGACTGACGCAGATTCAGTCGGTTTTCGATCCTAGCTAGAGGCAACCCAGTTTCTAGCCACACTGATGAGCTGTGATACAGCGAAACAGTTTGCCTGTGGATGACGATATATATATATATATATATATATATATATATATATATATATATATATATATATATATTTCATGTACTGGACTGGCTCGTCGTTTTCGATGCATGAGGTACAGCAACTTATTACTTACAACCGAACAGCCAGTACTATCCATGCATATAATTTGATTATAGTGGAGAATGCTTGTATAGAAACAAATACACTTTTTTGAAAGTGCCGAACACAGAGAACTGGTGCACTTAGGAAGCTCTCTATCTATCTATCTATATATATATATATATATATATATATATATATATATATATATATATATTATTTATACGTTATTTTTATAGATATTTTTATTTCACTAAATGCTTTGTTTTTAATTAAACAGTATTAATTAAATTTACCGGCCTGAATATTTGAGAACATATATAGTCTGACGTGCTGCTAGCATTCAGCTACAGAGAAGCGTCTGTTTAGCAAAATCTGAATTATAATCACACATCTTCGAAGAATTTTCTGCTCTCGAAACATATCTTAACGTAAGCAATGAAAAATATTATGAAATGGATTACGTCCGACAATTATTTATAATTATAAAAAATTACGTATAAATAATTGTCAGACATAATCCATTTCATGATATATATATATATATATATATATATATATATATATATATATATATATATATATATATATATATATATATATATATATATATATTAATGTAGGAACATACCACCCCTCTAAAAGATGAACTCCTCTACGAACAAGGACGTTAACAGAGTGGCATGTAAAAAGACAGTAGTAGTAGAAGTTCTTTTGCTGAGTTAGTTAGAGACTACTCAGGCGATATCTGTACCAACTTACCAACCGAATAAACCCCATTTTATTGTTACATGTTATTTGGCGTTTGTCTTTATTAACCCCAAATTAACATCATAACATATATATATATATATATATATATATATATATATATATATATATATATATATATATAAAAAAACTTAAAACACTAATATTCCATGGTCATAATTTATTCCATTGGAATAGTAAATACAATCAATTCATCAGACCTACAAATTCAAAAGGAAGACAACAAAAAAACAACCCCGGAAATAAAAACAGAATTTAGAGAGAGAGAAGTATGAGGGGGGGAGATTAAACCTTAACAGAGAGAATATTAGGAGAGGTGGGTGGAAGGGTTTAAGTAAGAGAAAAAAATGAATGTTGTCAGATGTGTAAAGATACATTTCGTGGTGACATACACACACCATAGACAATTTAATGTTAGATTAAAAGGAGGGAAAGACGAGGTGGAGGAGAGAGATGGGACGAAGGAAAGGGAAATTGCGTTTACTTAAAGGGCCGCTTTGTAATTGAGAAAATTTGACAAATTTAATATCGACTACAGGTTACAAATCAAATATAAACATATAAAAAATAAATATAACGATTATCTAATCCAGCAAGGACCTATATTTTTATGTTCAAAAACACATGCGAATACACACACATATATATATATATATGGAATATTAGTGTTTAAGCCTTTTTTATATATATATATATATATATATATATATATATATATATATATATGTCGTCCCATAATTTCTGTCCGAATTTTAACTTTTTGTTAAAAATGAACGAAATTTAAAGAGTATTTTATAATGTCTAAACGGAGCTGAACATTATTTTTATACTTAGATGCATTTAAACTGATCAAATTTTATTTCAGAGAACAATAAAATTAAATTTCGTTTGACTAAAACCCTGCTAACATGGAAGTACCGAAGAATGATTTGAGGCACATAATGCTTTATGAGTTCAAGAAAGCAAACTCAGCAGCCGAAGCGGCTAGAAACATTCACTATATATATATATATATATAATTTTTATTTATATATATATATATATATATATAATTTTTATTTACAGAATTTATCGTCCTTACATTGAATATCGCTGTTACATCTGGTCTGTTCATTCTGCCATGGATTTGGAGATTCTTGATAAAATCCAAAGAAGAATCTACAATGTTATCCGTCCTGACCTGTCATCTCTGCTTCAGTCATTTTCTCACCGTCGAAATGTAGCTTCCTGTATCTTTTCTATAAATACTTCTATGGTAATTATTCTGACGAACTTTCCTCTGTGGTACCCTAGACTTTATAAAGGTTTCGGCCGTTGTGTTTTCTGGCATTCATAAAGGTTTACGTCAATCCTGGTAACCTTCAAAGAATTTCGAACTGAATTCCTCATTTAATATCCCCAAATTCAAGAACCAACACATTAGACCACTAAGCTATTTTGTGGGACAGTTCTGCGTGTAGAATTCTCCAACCGAATTGGCCCATGTCGAGTTGAGGAGTAGAACTGTCTTTCTTTTATCTATCTATCTATCTATCTATCTATCTATCTATCTATCTATCTATCTATCTATCTAATCAAACTCCATACTTGTTCTCTTCTTATTTCTTTCTTTCTTTCTTTTGTCCATATATCTATCTATATTCATATGTATTTCTATTCATATGTATCTATCGCTATCCACATCTATCTATCTATCTATCTATCTATCTATCTATCTATCTATCTATCTATCTATCTATCTAATCAAACTTCATATTTGTTCTCTTCCTATTTCTTTCTTTCTTTCTTTCTTTCTTTCTTTCTTTTGTCCATATATCTATCTATGTTCATACGTATTTCTATTCATATGTATCTATCGCTATCCACATCTATCTATCTATCTATCTATCTATCTGTCTGTCTGTCTGTCTGTCGGTTTATTTATTTGTTGTACACCTTCATCTTCGTTAAGCTAACTATGTCTGATGTAACACATACAGCTTGACAGTATTCAAAAATGTCGACGGTTTGTTTTTATAAGGGAGTGGGAGTCCATGCTGTTGTTTATCAGAAAGACGAACTGACCCAAGGAACCATATCCCACCATTTAAAAAAATATACACTGCATTTTTTTGTTTCTTTATTACTTACTGAATGGCTAAATCTGACCGGAAAAGGCCACCAGAACTCGACCTTAAAATATAACTCATGACAAAAAATATATATCCTAAAATTTGTGCCAGGAAAAAAAAAAACGCGCATGCGCTAGATTAAAAAAACTCAAAAAAACATTGCTACGAATTACTTACCTATCTATGAATCTACATACATATTAACCTATCTAGCTTTATATATATATATGTGTGTGTGTGTGTGTGTGTGTGTGTGTGTGTGTGTGTGTGTGTGTGTGTGTGTGTGTGTGTGTGTGTGAAAAGTGTATATAAATATAAATTAATATATATAATTATTTAAATATTATATGCGTGGTACTTATTAAAAGCGCTCAATATCAGAGATAGAGCTAACATATTTGGTTGGATAGATGTTGACGATCGCTAAACGTGAAACCCAGGATCACAAACTCACATCTATCCAACCACATATATATATGTCACAAACTCACATCTATCAAATAAATATATATATATATATATATATATATATATATATATATATATATATATATATTTTTGGTTGGGTAGATGTGAGTTTATGACCCTTAAGGTTTCACGTTTGGCGATCGTCAACATCTATATATATATATATATATACCAGTATTTACATATCTAGTTATATCATTGATTTCTCAGCCTGTCTACTATATTTTTATTCTGTCTTTCTATCATAGAATGTTCTCACATATCTATTTCAATGTGTTACCCTATCTCAGTATTTGCCCCTCCTTCTATTTCACTTTAAATATATATATATATATATATATATATATATATATATATATATATCGATAGATCGATAGATAGATAGATAGATAGATAGATCATATTGATAGTTGTAGTAATAAAATAATAGTTAAAATTTGTTTTTCTTGGAATCTTATTCAACAAAAATATAACGTATACTTATTCGATTTAATGAACATATATCCTTAAAAAGAGGAAGAAGTGGCAAAAGATAGATAGATATGAACAGACTGGTATATATTTTTTTCAGGTGTTATAAAAGCAGTGCTCAGTGTTATATAACAGAGCTATTAAGTATATATTAGTGAAATATACATAATATCCCTCGTCGATAGCACGACTCGGAGTTTTATGCAGTATTCAATCTTCAGATGCAGAATATTCAATGAGTATTAAATTTTCGCTAACGAAATTTTATTTCGACGAAGAATAAATGTAAATATTTATCGATAGTTCACTTCTTAGAAATTACCTGACCATCGTGACTATAGCATCTCAACCTATATACAAGGTCATTTAATACAGCTAAGTTTAAAAAATCAAACCAGCTCCGAATGCCCTCTCCGGGTATGAAAGCCTCCATTCTCTGCGTAGAATATCAATGATTGTTTAAGATAAGCCTTCCACGTTCGAGGCTACATTAGCACGATGTTTACGTATCTAGTCACATGATTTGCAAAGTATACTAGGTCATAAGTTTGGTGACCTGTAATGGCCTCATTCAATCAAGTCATCTCACCGAATATGAGAGAGATGTTATTTTGATCACGCTAGATTTGACCTTCTCGTGTCAAGCCACGTTACTTAAAATACCAGGTATTACGTACGGTTCTCAGGCAACACTCCTTATACTGTCGACTGAATACATGACGATAAACAGCGCGAAGATTGACAGAAACAAAGAAGTTGTTTGTCAAGGAGAAACCAGAGAGAGAAGCAGCGGTAAAGTGATTGCACAGAGCTGCAATTATTTTTATTGCACAGATTGGCAGGAATTTTACGACCAAAGAACATCTCCTGGCCGTTGACGTGAGGATTGTAATAATGTCATAAGGCTTTGCGAGGATCAATTGATCTTCCTTTTCGCAAAGACAATTATCCCATATGTTTTTAGTTTCAAATACCTGTAGTAATATCTATCCAGGCATCTATTTGTTTCTATGTATATATCTGTCGATATCCAGAATTTTCATTGTATTATATATCTATCAGTCTCCTCATATCTATCTATCTATCTATCTATCTATCTATCTATCTATCTATCTATCCTAGTTCATTGATATCTAACTCAGTCCACTGATATCTATCTATCTATCTATCTATCTATCTATCTATCTATCTATCTATCCCAGTCCATTGATATCTACCTCATTCTGTTTACATCTATCTATCTATCTATCTATCCCAGTTCATTGATATCTATCTAACCCAGGCCATTGATATCTATCTATCTATCTATCTATCTATCTATCTATCTATCTATCTATCTATCTATCTAAGTTCTTTGTTATCTATCTAACCCAGTCCATTGATATCTATCTATCTATCTATCTATCTATCTATCTATCTATCCTAGTTCATTGATATCTACCTCATTCTGTTTACATCTATCTATCTATCTATCTATCTATCTATCTATCTATCTATCTATCTATCTATCTATCTATCTATCTCAGTTCATTGATATCTATCTAACCCAGTTCATTGATTATCTATCTATCTATCTATCTATCTATCTATCTATCTATCCTATTCTATCTATCCTAGTTCATTGATATCTATCTAACCCATGCCATTGATATCTATCTATCTATCTATCTATCTAAGTTCATTGTTATCTATCTAACCCAGTCCATTGATATCTATCTATCTATCTATCTATCTATCTATCTATCTATCTATCTATCTATCTATCCTAGTTCATTGATATCTATCTATCTATCTATCTATCTATCTATCTATCTATCCCAATCCATTGATATCTACCTCATTCTGTTTACATCTATCTATCTATCTATCTATCTATATATCTATCTATCTATCTATCTATCTATCTATCTACGAGGGTGGGATGAAAAACCCATGGTTGCCTATGAATGAGTGATGCAAACATTAATTTCATCTCTTCTCATAAATAACTTGCTTTTTCTCTCCAGCTAACGAGACATCTGTCTGTTTAGAGAAGATATCCAAATTAATTAGTAGCGATTTCTCAAAGAAATTTGGCATCCTTATATATATATATATATATATATATATATATATATATATATATATATATATATACCCTCCAAAACGAAACTGCTTTCCTTTACCCACCACAGATATCCCTTCCTACGACCCATCAAAATGACTGAATCCCAACTTCTTGAGAGTGCCTCGTTACGTCTGCTTGGTCTCAATAGATAAATTGAAGCAATGGATTCCTCTACCGCAAGGAATGTTGGCTCTGTGTTTTGCGTGAAAGTTTTTTCTCATCTGAGTCCATCTTTCAAATCCATAAATCATCCATCCATCCTTACATTGCTGTCATATATGGTCTCGTCCTCTCGCTGTACGTCTCGAGGTCCTTGACAAAATCCAGAGACGAATATGCGAGACGATAGGTCCTGATCTGGCATCTAGTCTACAATCGCTATCCCAGAGGCGTGCTCTGGCCTCCCTTTGTGTCTTCTAGAAATATTTTCACGGCAACTGTTCCGACGAGCTGGTTCTCGGACTGCATGAATTTAAACAAGCTACCAGACTGGCATCTCGGTCCCACCCTTTCACTGTCTAAACGGTTAAATGTAACCGTCTCTTCTACTCAAACAGCATCTTCTCTCGCACTTCCCCTCTGTGGAACTCCCTTCCTCTTACTTGCTTCCCTGATGACTATAATCTTCAAATATTCAAGTGTAATGTCAATCGACATCTGACTTCCTGAACTTGTTTCCCGTCCTTCTCTGTATCCTTTCTTCAAACACGCCTCTTTACTCTTGTTCTCAATCATATGTAACCCCTTGTGTACTAGTAGCATACCCGACTTGCTTGGGCTGATTTGCCTTTAAAAATCTATGTATCTGATTATCTATCTAAATTGGAGTGATGCAGATTACTCCAATCTATTTCCTATCCATCTGACCATGTTCATTTGACTCTTTAACTCATATATATATTTCTCTCTATTTTTTCCAGTTAGGTATCTTATACTGAAACGCTGGTTTTGCAAAAAATGCTATAACTACAAAGGATAAATATTAAATGTTAAAATAACTATAACAGTACCCGTTCGCGTGTTTTTAAACAAATCACCATGACAATGGAATGCAGATTTTGTCGCAATTATAATAAGTTTTTTGTTTTTTTTAAATTTACTCCTGAAGATGATCTTGGAAAAGATCGAAGTACTTGGGTTAGAAAAAAAAACTACGGCATTTTCCTTGAGGAATCCCATCATAATATGAAGAAACTGATTAGACAACTAGATAGGAACAGTATAAAAAAGATAAAGAGACACACTTTGTTTATATTATCCAATGAAACATGTCAAACTATATATATATATATATATATATATATGCTTTAACTAATTTCATCTCTCAGTGCGGCTTTGTCGCCCACAGCAAGGCTGGGTTGGTATCACATTTAAGAAAGCACAAATGAAATATATCTTTCCCTTACCTGATTTTCTCCACAATAGCCCCTTCTAGCATGCATAAGTGTAAAATGAAAGGTAACTTCCAATGCTGAACCTCATTTATCGTTCACGATGGGACAGCCCACCATATATATATATATATATATATATATATATATATCACATAAAGATATGTATTTTTATATATTAAGGGCAACATTGGGGAAAATGTATGACAAAGTGGAATATATATATATATATTTTCATTTTTCGTTTCAACCTTTGGAAGTAAAGTCTGATGATCTGCACTTCTTTAAAAGGGGTGTGGTGAAATAATTTATTACATGGAACCTTAAAGTGGTCTGTTTTTATTTAAATTATTTGCTCTGGATTTACATTGAGCTCTCTGGATTTTATCCTCTTTGGGTCTACCCATACGGATTACCTAGTTTTTAAAATATATATATATATATATATATATATATATATATATATATATATATATATATATATAAGATCCTAATGTACAGCCAGTTAGATCAGGGCTACATGAACGTAGGACGCCCATGGCTAAGTTACAAAGACAAGCTGACAAGCAACTTGTCAGCAGTCAATATAACACGTAACACCCTTGAGCGCTTAGCTTTGGCGCGGGTAGAATGGAGATCAACGTGTTTTAGTGGACAGCAATTTTCAATCTGCTTGTATGAATCATCTTCAAGAAGCGAGGGCAAGATCTAAAAGGTCAGCCAATCTAACAGTGATCTCATCTCACAATCCTCACGGGTCTTAAATGCTCCATATGTGGCCTCTTTTGTAAACCACTAGCGGGTCTTAAATGCTACTTAAAATTATCGCACAAACTTTCATAACTGAATCAATAAGCTGTCAGATCCTCATACGTCGAAATCGATGGGAGAGTCCATTATATATATATATATATATATATATATATATATGAAATAATTGACTCTCATACATTTTCCCCAATATTGTCCTTAATATATAAAAAATACATATCTTTATGTCATATATATATATATATATATATATATATATATATATAAAATATATATCTTTATGTCATATATATATATATATATATATATATATATATATATATATATATATATATGACATAAAGATATGTATTTTATATATATATATATATATATGACATAAAGATATGTATTTTTATGTATGAAGGACAATATTGGGGAAAATGTATGACAAAGTGGAAAAAGCTTCCTTTTCCCGCGTTACGAAAATACATTACCATAGAGTTACCTAAATGCACTAAGGAACCTAGCAAAAATAAGGAAATCCATATCAGTCTCTCTGATAAGGAGGTGGGATTGTGACCATGAACATGAATACATGTGTCAAAAAAATTCGGTCACGACTTAACGATACCCACGATAAGAAAATAAACGAACAGAAAATAATTACTGAAACACAAAAAAATTAACAAGAAGATGAAGAAACTAATTAAAAATGGAAACGAATCCTGGTATTGACGCATATAATTTCACCCTATAACGCCCAAACATTACGGTCTCCCTAAAACCCACAAAACAGGTATATCAATGCGCCCCATCATCTCATGACAAAAATTCTAACCCCTTTCCTTGGAACTATCAGTCCATGTCATCTAAAGAACTCAGTCTTGTTGAAATACTAACGGGAATAAATATGACCGACAAACACATGGCCAGTCTTGTTATAAAACCCGACTTATACCAACGTTCTTGTTAAAAAAAAAATGGCGTAAATCTTCTTAAAAGTATGAAACACAATTTCTATCTATAAAAGGCAGGATGTGTGTGTATGTGTAACGAATGCACGGCCGCAATTTTCGACGGATTTGCACTAAAATTTACATGCACATGCTCCAAGTTACTCCAAGACTTTGCATTTCTCAACTCCCAACTTTTTCATGCTTCTACGGCAGTTTTCATGCAGTTTACGGCAATTTTCTACTGGCCAGGGTGAGAGCCTATAGCTGGCTGCCACGAATAGGCAGGAAGATTCTATTGGCCAGCGTCAGCTGACTGACACGAATGTTAATTAGCAGGCAAAAAATATCGATAGCTGTATTCGTCACAAGTGGGAAAAATTTAAATCTGCATGGCACTTTAATCCAATTGGCTCATTCGCTTGCTTAAACTCAACGTTGATTCTTATTCCGCAGAACTGGGGTGGGTGTAAAAAAGAGTTTGTTGTTAACATTCTTTTTTCATTCGGTTTTTCCAGTTACGAATCCTTTTTTAAAGCTGATCGTTTTGTGTTCATTTTGTTTAGTTTTTTTTTTTTTTCGTAAGAGAATTAATGTTTAGTATAGATGTGACGTCGTCCCCTCTGGTCGCAGCGTCGACTGTGTCGTTCGATCCCGTTCGCGACGCCTGCTGTTCGCTCCTCGCTGCTCCAAGCGTGACGTTCTAACCCTTTGGTTAGATGAATACCAGCCTTGTCGTCCCCAACCCGCTTCCAACGCCTGGTTACCAGGGTAACTACACTGATATCCGGTCTGTCTACCCACGTTGTGATTAGATCTTAGACAGACGGGATCAAACAGGGATTGGGCCGTATGCAAGCTGAGTCCAACGGGGTGATAACACACAAGATAAATAAAACTCACAAGGTCAAAAATATTGAAGAAAAAAAGGTAACAACTTTTTATATCTAATTGTTCGTTACACAAGATTATTCCTACCTCCCGACCCGTTCTGTGGACCGTGGCACCACGCTTCTACCATACAACTTTAAGGCTTCGAGTTGCTTGCTCTCTAGAATTTTGCATTTTGTGTGTGGTTTGGTTTCAACACTGGGCGCTGATCTCTACCTGTCGTTCACGGCTGATTTCTCTCGCCGTCCGTGGCTGCAACTAACTCTCTCTTCAGAGTCTGAATTATTGTTCACTCATCTCTGCCGTCAGTGCGCGAATTAACTTCTTCTCTTCGGCTTCGGTTGGACGAGCTTATTCACTTCGACTTGGGTTGGACGAATTTCTCTTCTTAGGCCAAACGGACCGGCCTTTCTTGCCCGCAAAGGGGCGAATGAACCGGGCCCGCAGCCCGCGCTCAAACTCCCTCGCCGTCCGCGGCGCAGCTGCAACTGATTTCTGTCGGTTGGGGTCCCGCTTTTATTGAGGCAGTCAAAAACTGGGGTGGGTCTGTCGGCGCCAGGGTTTTCTTGATAATCCTAAAGACGTATTATTTCTGATTAGGGATTTTCCATTTTCGGTAACTTACTTTCCTCCTACTTCGTTACTGTGCCTCTGGGGGGCGTATACCCGCTTCCCTGGTCCTTCGTATGTCAGGTGACCGCTCTCGACCAATGGGGTCCTGGTCGGGAATCTTTCCTCCTCCCTCGCACATCATGTGACCGCTCTCGGCCAATGGGTTCCTGGTCGGGTGTCTCTCCTCCTCCCTCATGTATCATGACCGCCTTCGGCCAATGAGACTCTGGTCGGTATCTTTCC